TACCGTTGCGTACAAACGACCGCTACAAAAAGCGATGTCTCGTCGTCTGATGGATGTAGCGGAGAGGGGAGACTATGATCCGTCCCGGCTCTGAGCGGCGATGAATAATTGTTAGATTAACGAGGCTCAGAGCGCTCCGAGATAACACTAGTGATGTGCCCTATTTAACGATAGGACGAATCGTAAACTCTTTTATAACTTACAAATTAACTTATCTCGATATATGTTATTATTTATAAACAATGTAAAATGAAAAATGCGCCAAAGTTATGACTTCGTTATTTAATTAAATAGATACAATACATCGATTGAAAACTTTAAACTAAAAGTTTATAGTTATGAATTAAATTCATATAAAATATTTAGATTATCCGGATATCAATTGAATATAAAAAAAATAGTTTTCCAAAAAATGTTATCGATAGAGAATAATTCGTCTATTCCCATCCCTAGTTATTAAAGCCTGCACTAATAGGGTCGTGTAGGCTGATCCGCGAACAGCTCGAGCTAATATTGATTGCCCCACGTCAGCCTGCGTGCTACCTCACTACTGCTGACATACATACTGACATATCATTTTATATAGATAGTTGGACAAGATGCTAGTTATTATTGAATTTTTTTGCCGTAACGCTTCATTTTACTAATATTATAAATGCGATAGTTAAGATGAATGTATAGATGTTTGTAAGAGATTGTAGCCTAAACGGATCTCAATGAAATTTAGCATAGACGTAGAGGGTAGTCTGGAAAAACACATGAGACACTTTTGTTTTATTAAAATTCCACGCAGACGGAGTTGAGGGCGAAACCTAGTTAACAGTTAGGTATTATTTTCAATTTATATTAATCCATTTCAGTTTATTTTTTTCATCTGAAATTCAGTAACATAATATCTGAAAGAATGTCTACTACTTTTCTGTTCATATTAAATTCATTCACGAAACAAGAGTCCGGATCTGTTGTTAGTTGTTGAAATATGAGTTATATGTGCTTAGAAATAAAGTCCATATTCGCTGTACCTTGTGGTCACAGTAGCCTGGGGGTTATACTCGCCGTTGTTATAGCAGAAACATCAAAAGGGAATTACGAGTCTGTTTGCGGACAACGGCCCTTGTTTTGCTTTTTGCGGACATTTTCTCTTATTGGAATAATGTTTTTTGATCACTAACTCGACATTTGTAAATGTAAGGAACTATAAATGTGCAATAAAACAAACCTTATTAGCTCTCAGAGCAGCTTGATGTTTATTTAAACTATCCTTTAGTGTAGATAAATGTTGCTAAAGAGGTGCCCTTAGTGGGGTTTAGTGCATTAAAAACTAGCGGCAGTTAATAAACTAAATAAATAATAAATGTCAACTTAAACTAGGTCAGAAAATTGTTTTCTTTGTAATTTTATTTTCTGGTCGTAATTGATAATAAATAAATCAAAACAAATTGTAAACATTTTAGAAAGTGATTTCCTTTTTTTTAAAGAACCGGAAACCGGAAACTCATTAATAAAAGCCTCAACAACATCCGCATTTGATTGGTAATTTGGAGGCTTTTAAAGTAGCAATTAAGTACTACAATTTACTTATTGTAGCATTAATCGACTTAAAAGTTTTACTTGGACACGTTTACCTTAATGATTCCTTTCGCACTTAATTTTAAAAAATCATCAAAATTATGACATTAATGAAAACACGCTAAATAAATACTAGTCTTGTAAATTTGCTACAAATATAACACACTAGCTATTGCCCGCGACTTCGTCCACGCAATATTAAGAAAAAAGTAGCCACATCATGCCTGTCTTTGTCAGCTTTCATTAATTGAAAGTTTACCCGAAACAAACGCGACATGCGGACAGACAAAAAAAATGCGATTTTCATTTTCAGCAACGCAAATACATCATCTTCCCGAAAACTGGAATTTTTCTTTTGGTATTACAGACACTCCAATTTCATTACATGTATAGATAGATTGAAATAGCTTGTTATGTTTGTATGTACAGCACAGTAGTGTTTGATTAATTACGTCCAACTAAGTGCAATTAATTCCTGTAGCCAGCGCGGCGAATGGAGATGGGTTCGCTTTGTAATATACACCGTAAATGAATTAGCTATTGCGTAATTGACTACATTATTACAATTGACGGTCTTATTATAGATTATAATAGTAAATTGTTGCATTAATATTAATAATCTTTTAGATGTTATAAGTTTTGCGTTAACATAGTTTTTTGAAAGCATAATATATCAGTCTCGTATCTCGTGTTGTGTGCCGTAATTAGGATTGCCCTGGTCTGGCCTCTTTGCAATAGATATCGACCTGCTGACCGGTAAGCTGTGCTATTATCGACATCGATAATTAACAGGTACATCCCTAGACAGCGAGCACAATTAGCGCGGCTTTGACATGTCACATAGCACGGCATATCATCCTCGCACCCCGCGCGACCCCGCA